GGGGGGGCTTCCCCAAACCAACACTGGCAAATTGTAATAAATAATATTAAAAAACGTTTGGGATAAAATTAATGAATTATTGGTGAAAAAAAAAAAAAAAAAAAAAAAAAAAAAAAAAAAAAAAAAAAAAAAAAAAAAAAAAAAAAAAAAAAAAATAAAAAATAAAAATTATTAAAAAAATAAAATTTTTTTTTTTTTTTTTTTTTTTTTTTTTTTTTTTTTTAAAATTGGGGGTGTTTTTTTTTTTTTTTTCCTTTTTTTTTCTTTTTAAAATTTTTTTTTTTATTTTTTTTTTTTTTTAAAAAAAAATTTTTTCTTTTTTTTTTTTTTTTTTTTTCCCCCCCACCCCAAAAAAAAAAAAACCCCCACAACACCCCCCAAACAACCCCCCCCCCCCCCCCCCCCCCCCCCCCCCCCCCCCCCCCCCCCACCCCCCCCCCCAAAAAAAACCCCCAAAAAACCCCCCCCCCCCCCACAACCCCCCCCCCCCGGGGCCCCCCCCCCCCCCCCCAAAAAAAAAAAAAAAAAAAAAAAAAAAAAAAAAAAAAAAAAAAAAAAAAAAAAACAAAATTAAAAAAAAAAAAAAAAAAATTGGGGGGAAAAAAAATAAATTATTGGGTAAAAATAAGCAGTCTTTGGATAATCTTATCTTAAATAACATAACTAAACAAGGTGGAACGCAGGCAGTCTGTAATGATTTTGCTGATACATTCTCAAAGGAAATTGATCAAATAAAGCACTCCTGTGATGAAAAATGGCTGGAAAGGAAGACTTATGTTAAATTATCGAATGTGTGTATGAGATGGCAACCGGTCGATGGCAAGGATATAAAACTAATAATTGATAAAATGAACAAAAATAAATCACCGGGCAGTGATCTTATACGCATGTCTGACTTAAAAATAATTGTTGACAAGATTAGCCCTGTATTATCTAATCTGATAAATCTATCTGTAAAATATCACAAATTTCCACAAAAATTAAAGGAAGCAATCGTTTTTTTTCGAATTATAGACCAATAGCTATACTATCAAGTATTGACAAAATTATGGAAAAATGTGTTGTTCACTCAAATTGGAACTTTTTTACAAAAAAAAAATATCTTAACGGAATGTCAACATGGCTTCCAGAAAAATAAAAGCACCAACACCTTATTATCAAATTTTACAGACGAAATTAATGCACATTTGGAAAATAAAAAAATTATTGTAGCTATTTTTTATGATTTTAAGAAGGCTTTTGATACCTTAAATACTGAGACCCTCTTAAATGGAATGGAGGAGTGCGGCCTGGGGCAGCCGTTGAACCCTTGGTTCAGCGACTGTCTCACGGCGCGCTCTTACCGTGTGAAAGTCGGCGACGCATTCAGTGAGGAGAAACAAGTAAACTGCGGCGTCCCCCAGGGTTCTGGGTGTGGGCCAGTGTGCTACCTGATGTATGTAAATAGCCTCTGTGAAGTATTACGTCACTGCTCGGCCCACATGTTTGCTGATGACCTTTGTACTCTCAGCGCTAGTACCGACCTCTCGGAGATGTGTCGCCGGGTTCAAGAGGATGTGGATGCGGTAGTTAAATGGTCACATGATAACGGCATCATATTAAACGCTGACAAAACAAAGATGATAATTATTCACTCCCCGTATTTAAGTTCTATTGATAATCCACCTCCTCTTTTTGCGCACGGCTTTGATTGCTTTCATAACAACAAAATTAACTGTACGTGTAAACCTATCGAAAAAGTTAATTGTGTAAATTATCTAGGAGTAAAAATAGATACGTCTTTTTCTTGGGATTCCCATATAGAGTTTTTGTGTAGAAAACTAAGAATTTTATTAGAAAAGTTTTATCATTTACGTACTAAAGTCTCATTGCCCATACTAAAATGTTTATATTTTGCACTTGTGGATTCCATAATAGGTTACGCTCTTGACTGCTATGGGTTAACATTTAAAACATACATTGATAAAGTAGAATCATTACAAATAAGATTTTTAAAATTACTAGTAAATAAAAAGACAAGGAATCAATGTAAAGGAGATTATTATAAACTATTCAAAATATGTAAAATTTTACCGGCTAGCCTGAAACATAGATTCCTTGTACTTTTAAAAAACCATGGTAAGCAGAATCGTTTTACTAGTTTGGTGTATCATATAACTGACACAAGGTCAATGTCCAAAGGTAAATTTGAAATACCCATGGTGCAAAATTATTATGGAGATAGAACGTTGAAGAAGCGGATTCCATACTTGCTCAATAGTTTACCCGAGGACATAAGACGTGAGACTTCATTGGATAAATTTAGAGGTTTATTAAAAAACCATTTGTTAAATATGCTGTAACCTATAAGTAAATTAAGTGTATTAGTATTAGTTGTAGTAGCAGTGTTAGTAATTTAGTGATTTGGAAGTTATGGTTATTTAAGGCGAGTCACCTGCAGTCAAACTGCGTAAGCAGTTTTGCGGGGCATGGTTTGATTTAAGGTGTAACTTTTTTGTGAATAAATACATTTAATAAAATAATAAAAATCAAAATCAGCCATCTCAACCAGACACGGGTCACAAGAACTTAACATGGTTATTAAAAAATTACTTACATAGTAGACTTCCGGTGCGCCTCTTGGTCCCGGTCCATCTTTGGGCGCATTTTGTTTGGGCGGTTCCATCGTTATAAATTAATCAGAAAGTTAATCAAATTGTAAATTGATATTGAATACTGAAAACCATTATTGACAAGATGTCAAAACGTGTATTTTTTCTTCAAAAGCAAGTAGTTTTTCATGAATCTTGCACCTATTAATGTTATCTTTGTAGAGGGAACTACATTCAGTACATTTCAGATTAGAATAATACAGGTTTTTAAAAATAAAAAAGGTGTATGGAATTTTGTATTTATTAATCAACTTAAAAAATCTTATAAAAACGTTTCTTGATTAGAAAAGCACGTTAAGTACAGAGTATATATATTATATAGTGTCATAAACATGACCCGATGGTAAAAAAAAAAAATAAACTTGAAAGCTGAGGGCCACTAACATCCGGTCAGATGTGTTTATGACAAAATATACCATTAACAAAAAATGATTATTACGTGCCTTAGTAAAGTAAGTAGTTCTATAAAACATAAACAAAAATACTGTTTTTATTGATTGAAATTCTGAAATAAAATCTTGAAAATTGAATGCTTTACACCTGTTTTAGCGAAAACATAGTAAAGGCCTTCATATGGTTTTATTTCATCATATGATTTAGATCACTTTAATAGAAAAAAAAAAAAAGATGGCGCTGATTAGGATTCACCCATCTGTAAACGCAAGCGCACAAACAACGTCAAAGTAATTTTAGTTTCTATCAAACAAGCAAAAAAACAGTATTTAATAAAAAAAATATAATTTCGTGCCAATTCTGTTGATTTAAAAGTAGAGGCATAAAGTGAAATAGAAAATATTCGATTTTAACACCATGTTAGCGAACGTAAAGCAAGTTATAACTTTAAATTTCCTTTAGATATGTAATTTACTCAAAAGGAAACGTTTATTTGATGGCTCAAGAATGTTAATACCTCCCCTCTTTAACAGCTCTTCGCCGATATAATGCGCTTATTACAATTAATCTTAGATAAAAGTTATAAACAACAGAATTGCTACTATACATTAAATAATATAAAAAATCAACAATTATCGATGAGCGTTTACCTAGATGAAGAATCTACATTATTTGTTTACTAATTTACAAAAAAAATTTTGAAAAAGCCCAAGAGAGTAGTAGATTCGTAAACTTGTTTTCTTTAGAAAACAGAAAAAGCTAAATTTTCGCAGATATTTACGGACTTGTATCTCGGATACAATGGTACACATTGCCGGGCTACTCTTGCAAGTTACAAAATTTTAACGCTCATCGTAAGAAAATCAACATGATTAAAGTCTATTTAAGAGTTCCAACTTATGTCAGATAACCCACCGAAACCATCCTATATTAACATGTGAGATCTAAGAAAGTACTCATATATGAGTTTTAGCAAATTAAATATAAAAAAAATGATAAAAAAATCCGTATGATTAACTCGTTTTTCGATATAGCGGGAGTATAAACATTCTTATTACTTCTGAAAGAAAATACAAGTCTCGTGACCATTTTGCTACGAGCTTTTACTTCCCTTAAGTTAAATGTGTACTCTATTACCATAGACCTTAATTTGTACTGGTACTTGTAATAACACAGATAAAGAATATTATTGTCTATGACACTTGTAGGATTCTTAATATTAATAGGAAACTTTAAGTTTAAATATGAGATCTTTAACAGGAACCAACTAAAATTAAAAAAATACAGTTATCCTATTCTTAACGTCAAAGAATATGTTATAGATACTTTTATTCATACATATTGATAAACAAATATTGAAGCTATAGCTTGTTAGAGTTAACTACACCAAAGATTAAACACTAAACAACCACAGTTATTAACTATTTAACACTTGTGGCAATAAGGCAAAGCAATTCTGTAATTTAAGCTTCTAACGAGTTTTTCTTTAAATAACTAAGTTTTTTCTGGAGTTATTAATGATAAGATGACACAAAAAAAAACATACTAATTGCAATCTTATAAGTACTCTTTCATCTCTTTCTAAAAATTGCTTTAACGCTGTAACGAAAAGAGACGACTAGTAATTTAAAACGGTGCAATCAAACTGATTGTTTTATGAATTCACGAGAATTCAAAGTATTATATACGAGAGAATTCTTCAGATAGTATTTAGTTAGTGGCACTTATAGGTGGAAGTTATTTAAAAAATCTAAGATAAAGTAATAGAAATTCTTACAATTAACTTTTGAGGAGTTTTTATTTAACAAAAACAACGCAACAATAACAGTAATATAAGTTTACTTTCTAATTAAAGAATTTTGTACTTAAAATTGTATTCTTACCGAATTTAAACCGAAACTTCGCTATTACTGCTTTAAAAGCGTATTTGTATATTGAATATTTTTTCATACAATATTAGTTATATAACCTGGCGAACAATATAATATGTACATCATTTAAACCCGGTTGACCAGCAATGGGGTATATTTGAGGCAGTAAGTCCAGTTTTGATAGATTTATTTTCAGTCCGTTTATATTCTTTGAATACGGCCAATCCGGAGATAAGCATTTAATCTCCCCCCTCCCACGTAAATGGTTCACCAGTAGTTTTATTGAAAACCGTAATAGAACCGGTTTTGAATGTAAAATCCGTGGAATGTGACTGAAAGGAAAATGTTCAACAGTGAAAATAGATGATAATTTAAAATCTTTATATATACTAGACCGATTTTGATGATTTTTTTTCTGTTTAAGTGGGTTCGAGAATAGTAGTAGATTTAAAAAAATATATTATGGGGTAAAAAATTTAGAAAATTGTATATGATAAACCTCACCGTCAGAGTAGCCATGAACACGTCAGGTTCTTCGTATTTCGCACTCAGAACATAGAAAATAGATTCATATTCCAAAACACGGCTGCACCAAAGAGGTTCCTGTACCAACGCTCCCAATGTGAATGTGATGTTCCAATCATTCGTTACTTGCTTCATAACTTCATTTTCGTGGATCTGAAAGGTTTTTTTATTATTTAATACCGGGTTTAAAGCTAACAATAATATTTTACCTTTCGTATGATTCGGAATAGAAAAATCCAATTTTAATGTCAGAGTAATGGCATCTGTCAGCTGTCATTATGTCACAAGAGCTTACAAATAAATAAGGTCAACATCAAATCTGATCAAAACCGGAAATACTCAACAAATCTACAAATTAATGACGATTTTGCCGGCCTTTTTAAACATTTGGAGGTCGTATCTCCCAGGTAAGACCTCGGTCGATTCCACAGTTCACTTGTTCTCAAAAGAAAATGTCTTGAGAAGGAGACCGTGGATGACTTCCAGCCGTCTAGGTGATGCGGATGAAAGTATGTGATTATATAGTAATCATTATTACTAAAGTAATATATAAGCTCTGTGACACATAATGACAATGGCAGCTGACAGCGTCGTGCAGTTGCAGATGAAGAAAAGAGAGACGATGGAGACTCACTATGGACGCCCTCTGTCCCATTTAGGGGATATAGGGCATTAAGTCAAGTAAGCTGAGAGAAACATTTTCGTTTATATTAAAACATTAACCTTCAAAATAAATTTTAAGAACCAATTCGTGAAACTACTAACATGCTAACGAAAACATTTCAATATTGTTATGATTATAGGAAAAAAATATTTTTAAACATTTTGTTTAAATAAAATAAAAATATATTTTGTGTGTCTTTCGATTTTAAATAATGTAAAGAACAAAATCCTGAAACTGCTGAGTCATTATCTTATTTTTGTTTAAGAAATATATATACCTTTTGCATATGATAGTCGACGACAATACCCGGTCCGCACCAGTTGCACAACACACAGTTTACTTTTGTATCTATGTCTACACACTTCATGTATTCCTGAAATAATTCAATTTCCTTATCATTGATAGAAACACAAATTAAGGCCAGTCAATATAAAAGTTTCAAGTCAATAACGTATAATTGCTTCGTATATTATGTATATGTTACTGTAAAAGCTCGAACTACAGTGAATCCTAAGATATTCCAGTAAAACCTAAGATCTACCAATTCCTAATGGTAAATGTCCCAAAAGGTTTGCGATTCGAACTCTTACCACCATTCCGTTGGTAAATCTTAGGATTTACGTTAATGGCACGGTAAATGTTGAAAAACAAAACATGACTAGCTTATGTAAGCATTGTTTGTATTTCGTTGTTAAATTCCAAATAGAGAACTACTGATTCAGTTAGATAGATATGATAGAGATTGAGATATTCAGAGATATACGTTATATGTTTTTTCAAAATAATTTAAATAAGTTGGTATTAGTTTGTACTTATTACTATCATATGATATCTTTATAATACTATGTACCTGTTTTGTCTAATAGTTCATTAAAGTAAATAATTAAGAATTACTCATTGTTTTATTCCTAAAACGAACATCTACCAGCTGACAGTGATAAAACCTAGCATATACTGAATTCAAATGGTAATCGCTCGAAAAAATCGTCGTATTTTCACTTATAATACCACAAGAGCTTCAAAATTGAAATGCCAGATAATTTTGAAGCTCGTGTGGTATTCGGGGGATTATTTTTCCGACACAAATGTCAGCCAATAGAATTGCACCATGAGACGAAATGTACAGTTAACAAATAAGAATTTCATAGTGAATAAAACAACTACTTAATACTTTTCTTGAAGCAACTACCAGAGAAAATTTTCAAAAAATTATCAGTATAATACCATGTAGGTTGTACCACGTGACGTCGAATGGTGCAATTCTATTGGTCGATATTTGGGTCGGAAGAATAATCAGAAATACTTACATTTACCAACTCGGTACGGTAAATCCTAAGAGTTACACTTAAATCTTAAGATTAACCGTAGTTCGAGCTTTTACAGTAACATATATACATCTCAAATTCATTAAATCATTTGTTAATTAGTCAATACAATACGCCGTAGCGTAAAGTGCTTTCATTATTAAAACCATACCACACCATTAATAATTATAGTAAAAAATAAAACTTTATGGACTACAAGTTTTTCTAACACCCATTCATTTAGTTTATTAAATGGGGGTTTGAGAAATTAACTTTTGATACTACCCGACGAATATGACAAGAAATTAGATTCATACTAAATAAAGTACGTTGAACGCCCATCTTAGATTCTATTCCTAAGAAAATATATTTCGCTTTATATAGAGCAAAAATTCTACCCATAATGAAAAAAATTAAATTATAATTTATTTAATATAGCTGTGTGATATATGAAATAAATTTTTAAAAGGCAGGGTCAAATCGCTTCATAAATTTTATTAAAGATAATTAAATTAATTAAAGAACATTATTATGGCACGTGCAAGTCTTAGACCCAAAAAGACAGAAGGCTGATCACCTACTGGCCTATTAGAACAAATGATCACAAAACAGTTACAGATATCTAAGGCCCATATCTGAGAGTTAGTAGCGCCATGGAATTTTTATAAAATATTTTACCTCATCCTGACTTATAACCTCTAAAGCGTCTTCAACCATTTCTGGTATGGTAACATTTCCACCATTTCTGTCAAACGAAGTGGTCTCACTGGATTCTGAAAGCATATATAAAAATATAAGTGATAATCAATAAAATTTAACAAAATAAACATCATAAAGCTTTCACGCGGTGAGTTTGTTTGATAATTTTCAAGATGAGAAACCTTGTTTGGAAATTTCTAGAAATTTCTTTAATTTAGCCGCACCAAAAAATAGAAAAAAAGAAAACAAACATGTTATAAAAATTAGAATGTGTGGCCTCGATAATACGTACTTACACAAACATTATTCTTAATAATGCTTAGAATTATTTTCTATAACAGGGGGCAATCGCCAGGCTCACCTGATGTTAAGTAATACTACCCATGGACACTCACACTGGCAGAAGGCTCGCAAGTGCGTTACCGGCTGTTTAAGAATTGGTTTTTTCCTTTTCTTGAAGGCGAATTGATACTTCTTTATAATCTTTCCTAAATTTGACTTGTATTAGTGCTCTTTGTCGTGGGATGCGAAGATATAACATTAAACACAAAATTATTTCAATAAGAAATGTCAGCTGGAGAGTTTCTTGTTTCTCGTTGAAAAATCGTATACGTAGATGATGCCTTCTGTTCAATTAAAAAAATGTTTTACCTGCGATATGATTATTTAAATAATCTGAATTATCCGGCTTCTGCATTGGTTCCTTGCAAAGTAACATATCGACATGATCCGTTCCGTTTGCGTAATTTACATCGTATCCTAAATTCAAACGTATATATTAGTCTTATTATAAGGACTAATTCGATCATTTTCTTTGAACTTTATTCACTTGTGATAAGGTTTATTATTCAATGACCCTTAAGTAAGTGTTGTCATAGACGGACCGCATGTTGCAGTCGATACCGGCTGCTCTAAACGGTCGCCGCACGGCGATCTGCAGTTTCCATACTAAATTCATATCCGCAATACACTGACCGCACGATCAGTTTCTGAGCGGTCGGAGCAGTCGCTCTGCGGTCGAGTTTCGCCGTGTGGTCGACTGCTTAGAGCTGCCGGACCCACCATACTCGGACCGCTACAAGCGGTTGCTGCCGACCGCGCGCCTCTCCCTCAAATAAAATAAAATACTAACTAATTCAACAAATGAAACCACGGACATTCTAAAGTAGTTGAAAAACATTTTAGTGTCTTCTCTCAGCTGGGGATACAAAGTATGAAATATTTCATACTGTTCTCTTGATTGTAGTATTGGACGCACCCACATACTACGGTGTCATCTACGCCTACGCTTGCGTAATAGTAGTACAAGTAGCAGTGTTTCTTCATCGAATTCCATCTTGTAAATGAGCATCAGTATTATTTTGCGGTCGAACACAACTGCTTCAAGCAGTCGTAGCCGACTGCATTATGCGGTCTACCGCTCTACAGCAGTCGGTCTTGACTGCAACATGCGGTCCGTCTATGGCCAGTTAAGAGTCTGTTACAAATTGTATTAATGATACATTGACAAAGCGCTGAGGCAGAATTTTCTAGGCAATTTTTTTAGATCAAATATGTGTTTCCCATACATTATGTTCATCGGATCGGTAAAAAAGGCGGCGGGAAAATCGGCAGGCGGTTTTAGAGTTTATGATAACTATATAATAAAATATATTTTTTTATTCCAAAGAAACATAAGACAATAACAAAACAGTTTTACCTCTTTCCAGACGCGGTAAGAGTAGGCTTCTCTAGATGCTTACTATAGACTATTCAAAATGGAATTTAGAATTAAAAATGTAAGCAAACCATTCCAAGAATAGTTCTCGTTTCTGTGATTCGTTTATTTTTTATTTTTAAACTGGCAACATTTTTTGAATACAGATCAAAAAGAAAATATTTTTTGCTTTACAACTGATATAACAATTTTGTTTAGGCTACATTTTTCAACATAAATTCCATTTATCTAGCGTTATGACGTCACGTGCACAGATATTGAAAGAATAGATGAAAAAAAACCATAGACACTCACTAGGATAAGCATTGTGCGATATAACTGTGGATGTTGGGTACACCTTCCTGAAAGCCATGCGTTATATACAAATAGCAGTGAACAAAGCCATTAAAAAATGCGCCAATCTAGGCTTAAGTGGTTTTAAGACTAGATTAATTTCTTAGAATATAAGATATCCAATGTGAAGAAGCAACAGAGTAGACAAGTTATTGAGTACAAGAGTTCGTACTCAAGGTGAAGTAAACTCAAAATTAATCTCAATATATGTCAAATCATTATTTTTTAACAAAACAAACAATAGTTGATGTCTACGCAATGATTCTTCACAGCGAAATTTTGCAAGACATACAAAAATTAAACCAAGCTGCACCGGGGTTTAATTTCAACCCACTAGTAATCGCTACGAAACATACGTCAAGAGCGATTAATATTTTCCATAGGTAAATTAATGAGTCATAGCTATTACGAATAGGTTCTTGAAAACAGTAAAATTTCAATGCCCGGGTTGTACTGTTCTCACTATATTTAAAGGAATGAGTGCATGTAGTCAGTAAATTTACGATAACAAACATTATTTTAAAATAAAATAAAATTATGCATTGCATTGCAAATTATGCATTTAGCGTGCTGCTGATGCATTAGTAAGCCGATGGCATCCAATCATTCAAAGACAAATTTGCTATCTGCCATTTGTCATAACATTTTGATAGATGATAGAGTGAGTTCACAGACTTGTCTCTGGATCTCAGCCATAGTGAGATTAAGCATTATGCCTGGGATAGTTTGAATAGAAGCTTTTTACGTTTTTGACGTCGATGAAACGAAACCGTTTTCTGTTGACAGTAAACTAGTTTAATAAACGTTTGTTTTTCGTTTCGTTTACGTCAAAGCCCAGATTATAAAACTATTCGTTTCAATGACCACCACTAGTTGAGTACCAGGTATGAAGAACTCATGCGAAGTTACCCGTCGAGCATACTCATATTAAATATTTACAATTAATGATGTAGTTCTGGCTCTCGTCTAGTCTGAATCATTTGTATGAGAAATCTTAATGCGCGCGGAACCACCAGAGGCGCATCATACAAATATTTGACCCGGACACGCAAGACTGATTCATAACATTTAAATGTGTGCATTAAAAAAAACATTGTGTCAATGCAATTAAGACCCGATAACATTCACAAATTTAAATTAATAATGAAACAATATTGCTAAAAGCGACCATTAAAGGGGTTAATCTGGCCGTCAAAGCAAGACTCATTAATTTCATGTTAAAATTATTTAGTGTTTATACCAAAGCAAGAACTTTAGACGCGGTAAAAACGAAATGAAATACCAATTTCATAAAAAAAAATGAATCTTGTTAAGTGTTCTTGGTAAAAGGCACTGGAGGGATTACTTTTGTGCAATGTAAACAAGAATATACAGTCGCAACTAAAATTAATGTGAATAAATTGTTAGATACGTTTGCTAGGTGAAAATTAAAAAAAAAAAGTGGTCACGTGGACATCAAAGCAGGATTGAAAGGTCTTATCAGAAACGAGACTATGACTTCAGTATGTTAAAATCTAATAAATTCTTGGCGTACGAAAGTCAAGTCTCGCGTCTGTATATACCCACGTATTTTACTTTGTAAAATACACCTTGAGATAAAGCGTTAAAGACGAAATTGCAAATTAAAGTATATACGACTTACGTGGACATAATAGTCATTGTGCTGTTTGTGCATGTGGTTTTACTCTTCGTACCGATTTGTAAGAGTGAAGAATTTGTAAAGGGTGACTTGATGTTATATATTTTCTCCAATTGGATTGTCTGAACGGTGGTTTGAGGCATGTATGTGGAATGCGAACCTGAAACGTTAGAATATTTGTATAAAAGTGAGATGTGTCCCACAACACAGGGACTCCCTAGTGTGGGGACTAGTGATTGATGAATTTTTTCACAACCATATTTCTGTCATTTTTTACTTACTTTTATTTCTGATAATTGATAAAAATAGTAATTTGTACAAATATGTACCTATACATTTCAAAAGTAGTAGAAATATATTTTGTCTTAGCAACTTTAGCTTTTCAAGTTTCATGTATTAAAACATTCATAAAAACTTATCAATCACTGAAATCATTGAAATAAATGACACATTCGTACGGAACGTCTGTTGCCTGAAACACCATTTAATCTAAGTATGTGAGATTGCGCGAACTGCACCTCACTTGTATGTACGCGGATTTTGTAAGTTACGCGCGCCGGCATCGACTAACGCCCGACCCCAATAACCTATCTCAATCCATTTTTAGCATCTGAGATAGTAATCTTAAATGTTGTAACAAGTGTGCCAATAACCAATCGACGGATTGTAATAGCCATCTGTCGATACAAGCTATGCATGGGAGATCGTATCGGTGTCTGTGGATAGACCTTTGTATGAAAATAATAGTTGACGAATGCTCGATTTCAACAGTTAACTATTTTAACAGATTTTAACTTACACCAGTTTTTAAAATAGTAAAACTGTTTGTTATGTTTTAAACATACACATGTATATTTTAATGTTATTTGTACGGTTTTCTTTACTTTATTTGGTTTATACATTGATATCAAATGAGTGAAAACTCTAAAATGGAACGACAAGACATTTTATCCGTCGCCAAAATGATCTTCTAGGGTTTATGGATGTGATGGAGATCGATCGACTGTCACGGTCTGATCTCAGATTATTTTCAATCTGAGATTGTGGATTAATTATTGGGTTCAGGCGTAAGTCCCGTGAGAGATTACTTCACCTAACGCCACATGAAAAGAAATTGTTCCGAACGCAACTTGAAAGCTGAAATATATTATAATTTTTTACTTTATTTTTCCTAAAATTTATTCATATTATTAATTATACATAAAATTATTTCTCCTTTATTGAGCTCAACATCTCTACTAGTTAAACCATATTGATATTATAGTAATTTATTTAGAATCTTAAAACATTGTCGTTGAATTAACTTATAACCCGTGAAGCCAAAGGTAAAATCTAGTGTAGGTAGCCTCAAATCAAAATAATTTATTAAATATATAACTAGTTTAATTGCTATATGATTTAAGTTTATAAAAATTACAGAATAAATATGTCAAATGAAAACTTACACGCATCAGATTCGGCGCTAACTTGTACAAATAATTGTTGCTCATAATCCCGATGATGGAATTTGCTGAAAACTTCTGCAATTTTTGGCAAACTGTTCTCTTTATATGTTTCATATTTCGTTTCTTCAACGCGTTTTTCATAATACAGAATTTCTATACCATCGTTTGTTGCGATGGATGTGTTCGCTTCACAAAATGCCGAATCAATAGACATATTTCTTTGTATAAAATTATGTTCCGAGTTATTTCTCTCTAGATCTTGTAAGACATCTCTTATTATTTCACTGGTTGGTGGCGGTTTCTCCTGGATAAAGGCGTTAACTTTTGAGACCGTTCCATCATTTCTGCGTAGGGTCAAATCAGCTTTTTGAAGCTTTACCATGGGATTGCTCTGTATTGGATATATACCACTCAGGATTCTCTGTCGTTTCGCCGGTAGAGGTGCAATAGTTTGAGTAGCCTTGAACACAATAATAAAAATAAGTAATGAATGTTAATATTATGGGTGTACTAATAAATGTATTCAAAAAAGACTCAAAATTCAAAAATCATCTAATCATATAGGTAACACATTGTACTCTTATGACTTGTCAGTAAATAAATACATATTAATGCTTCTAATTTTACATTTAGTACTTATTTTATTACTATTATGACTATATATAAGGCAGGGGAATATACGTAACGTTCCCTAAGTGCAAATAGCCCAGAAATAACATGCCGGAATTAAGGCATAAATTTTCTTACACTAGCCTTTAATGTCTGTGGGAATCTAAGATCTAAATCCACAATGGCCATTAAATTCGAACGATGCGTTAACTACCATTTTAATTTGAAGGTACTATTTTAAGTCTTTACTCTTTCAATAATAACTTCCAGAAACATTTTTGTTTATGTGTTCGCTACAATTTATTTATAGCACTTTTTTTTTTATTAAGCGGGAAATATGTGTCAAAGTGTTAATTCCTATTAAACAGTCTAAATAACACATGATCATTCTTAATAACTTTGCATGTCAGAAATGAATTTTCTTGTTTTCTTTGGTTAATAAAATTTGACCAATTTATATGATATATTAAATTAAGTGGGACTTATATTTTATGTATATATATACTATAGATATTTATGTGTATGTAGTTTGTATTGTTTAAGAATCATTTAAAAATATTTTGCTTAAAAAATATTTATTCTATTGGCCATATCAAATTCATAGTTTTTATTAATTCGATATTAACCAAAACTTTAATGACTTTAACTGAGTATAGAGAATTTTAACCAAAAACAATAAAAATTATAAAAAAATGGAAGTTGAGTATCAAACAGTTACAACGTAATGTATGGTATGCAGCTTTAATAGTAAAAATATCAATACTTACACTGGTATTATACATAACTTTCACATTATCTTTCCTCATAATAATATCTGCATTCACTTGACGTTTCATGATACATTGTGATGTTAGCTTAACTTTGTGTATTTGTTCATCAACCAATTGATTTGTTTTCCTTTGGTAATTTCTCACACTCAGATTTTCATATTGTTTCAAAGTCTGATGGTCATCCAAGTTTTTTGGGGTATCAGCATTCATTAATCTTGCAAGGAGGCTCTGACGAGTATTATATTTTGAAATATGAATATCTGTCATATTCCTGGCCAATTTAAGTCTTGGAGTTGCAGTTATTGGTGGGGAAAATGTTGGTAACTTTTTAGTTTTCATCTAAAAATACCAAAATAAATGTTTGTTTACTTTCATTTGAAGCATGTACAAATCTATTATAATAAAATATGTTCCTACAATGTAAACTATTAAACATTTATTTACAAAAAAAGAGTTATCTATATTTTACAAATAAATTTCTTTTCCTATTTTAATAATATGTCACATAGAAAGAGGGCATCTTATATCTACTGAATTACATTTGAAGTGGTCTAGAAAATATCAGACTTTACAAAAAATTTAAAATGCATTATTTTATTATTATAATGTGCAGTTCTTAAATCATCTACCAAGTATTGCTACAACAATAAATTTAATATTTATGTCTATTGTTAATTTGAGTTGATTTTATCAATGATAATGCATTGGGTCGCTGTGCCAGGAATTAAGTTTATCTTTAAATGCTTTCTTACCAATTTTTGGCATTGTCTTTTCACTTACTTCCTGGCAATTAAAAAATAAAATTCAGAATAGCATTTTGACATACATGAGTCACATTTACCACTATGTCTTATTACTAATATATATATATCATCCTGAATAACATTAACTGTAGATTTCTATCATTTAACATCAGGTAATTCCATCTATATCATAAAAATACCCTGCAACATACCTGACTATTCAGAGTTCGTTTTTTGGAGTTTTTCATTCTTTGCCGTTCTTTTCTGACTTTTTCAATGATGGCTGTTACTGACTCCTCTAAACCCAATTTTCTTGCAATTATCAATTGTATAAGATACAATTTCTAAAAATAAAGTGAAAGTTTTAAATACGTAAGACATGAAGTATAAATTTCAAATGTCTAAATAACAAGTCAAAGCAAGAATACAATTGTTGAACATTTATCAGTTATTATGATTAATCTTTATATACATACACTTTTTTTTAAATTAAATCAAGTTTAAATTGGTCTAGGGACAAGATAAGTCTTAATTAGCCTACATTTAATATGAATAGGGTAAATCCTTACTTTGTAATTAGAAGGTAAGCCGTAATGTTTCGATAGTAGTTGTAAATCCCGATAACTACATTTCTGTAATTCTTCTGTTATTTTTTGACTACCGTTCATTTTTAAATATTTCTTATCGAAACAATTAAAACGTGTTAGGAAGCAACCCTAACTTATGTTAAATAAATGTGTTTTCTCTTTTATGGGCACTATTTAATATAAGTTAACTAAATATACATTAACAATGTTCACCTTAGTTTCGCACTTTCATTCTAGTTTTCTAATTTCTACTAGAAAAAAATACTTCCCAGTTTTCGGTACTCAGTAGTCAGTACTCTGTGCAGCGTGGACTCTCGTTTCAAAATTATGCTTGTCATATATTATTTTATTGAAACGTCAACTTGTGTTTACTACCTACATTTTCAGTTGTAAAAATTGTTGTAACTTACGCATAACATTAACGTTTGTATGTACCTACATCAATTCTGCTAAGATTAGTATTTAATGTTAAAACATACAAAGTGGAAAATAATGGCGTATAATAATATTATTATCTAGCCGTTTTGTGGAATATAATACATCGCGATCAAATAGCTTATGTATGTCTTACGTCTTGCAACTGGTTAGAGTATTGTATTCTATTGTTTGCAGTATATTACAAAGGTGACACACCACAAGTTAACCAAATAGGTACAAACTCTTCGACTAACTAACGTATATAAAGTTATTGAATTAATTTATTAAATTTAATTTTAGTCTTCTTAAGGTGGGAACTGACCAACGTTACGAGGTGTAATGTAACACGTTACACAGCGAGCATTCGTGCAGTCAGTACGTCGTGTTCCGGGGAAACCAGCGAGCAACGAGCCGCTCGTTACTCGTTTTTTCTTCTTCTTAATTTGGATGAAACAATAATTAAGTGGAATCAAAGATACCAACGGTTCCTCGCTGTCAGCCATCTCGTGAACACTGGCGGCGAAAGCGGAGCACAGAGTTTTGACGAGCATGTTACGCCGATTTTAAAGCACAGCGTAACATGCTCGATGCGTAACACGCTCGATGCGAATGCTACATTACGGCTCGTAACTTTGGTCAGTTCCCACCTTTAAATACTACAAAATCTAAAATAAACACAAAATTCAAGTTGTAAAGGCAATCTAAAGCAGCCTTCGTAGAAGTAATTACCGCATATCGGATGTCTAGGATTCTCTTCCACTCCTGGCGAAGCAATGCAATAGATATGTTTCGGTGGGTTAACACAGTCGACAGAACGTCTGATCGTAGAGTCTGCAGGTACGGTGACGTTTTCGTTAGAAAAATTTCATTTTTTATCTTTAATCATCAAAGAAAGATAATTAACCCACTATATTATAAATATAACTAACTGATTTCACTTAAATTAGTTTTAGTTGCAAATTAGTGAAATGCTACGGCGTTTTCCAATTACAGCACTAAAGAGCATTATGCGGCATAATGCTCAACATTGAATGTTCCAACTACAGCAACGCTTCGCACAATTGAGCACTCTCAAAAGTAATGCTCTCGCGTGCTTCTCGCAATCAAAACCAACACAGTGACAGAAAATTCACCAGTGTTTTTCTTTAAGTTGGCATTGATCGAAATTATCGTTAGTAAATATTATTTTGAAAAATTTGTAAGGCTCGTTTCGTCGTAGATTTTGGAAATAATTAAAGTTATTTCAAACTGCTAAAAAAATAAATATAAGTATGGATGAAGGTATAAATAGTTAATTTTTTTATATTCCACATTTAAAATATGAATACAATTTCATTTTAAAATTCGTATCTGTAAACAAATTTATTTTACAGGATTATACTTTTGTAAACATTGTAATGGTTTTGAAAAAGTATATAATTTTTTTAGAAATCATTTACATAAATTACTCAAAATGTAAATAATGTAAACTTCTTACATGAAACTAAATATTTTACTGTTAATTTAGCTTATTAAAACCTTATATTCTTTAAAGGTTTTCTCTTATTTCAGTAAAAAAATGTTAATGAAATAATTTGATTATTAAAATAAGCGTAAATAGTTTTCAACCAATTATTAATGTTTACCACATTATTTATACATTAATGAGGTTGCTTACTCTGTTCAGAACATTTTTTTTTCAACACTGACTTAGCGCACTCTGTTGATGCATTTGAAAACTGATTCACGTTCCAATTAAGCTTCAGCATAATGCGGCATTGTGCGCCACTGAGTCGCATTATGCTCTGTAATTGAAAACAGGGTATATTTCTATCAACTTGGACATAATATTATTTTCTATGAATTAATATGAGTCGTGTCATTAATATGAATAAATTAATTTTGATTGATTTGATTTTATTATTTTTTCTTCTTATCTGTGGCACCGCTGCCTTTAGCGCATGCGTGGTGATGTGCTGGGCTTTGGCGCCAATGCTACTGAAGTTTAAAGTATGAAAAAAAAATCTTTTAAAAATTTAAACTAGAGTACCTATGTTATAGAAATATCCAAATTATGTATGTAGATGTAGTCATATTCACAGTAAATGAAAATCGACATACCCACTTCAATACTGTAATTCTTACAATGTTATAAGAAACCAAAGAAAACATTATTTGCTTTAAATCACATATACCTATAAAAATGTCGTCTTTGAATAAATCATTAACTCTCACTGCACACATCATGCTTTAAAATTTTAGTTAATTAATAAACTATAGGTAATTTTAAAGCATGAAACGGACCTCAAAATTCTTGTGATTCTAATGTTTCTATATGTTTCTGGAAAACCATAACTGCCAATGTAACTCGACTCGACTTGAATCTAAACTATTTTTGTACGTTTGTAGAATTCTTTACAATAAGATTAGGTATTTTTTATGGAAATTAAATACCTAAAACTATATCCTTAGAATGCAAAAATATTTTAATGCAAAAACTATAGCACTAGTAATTGTTAACAATAATACAGTTGATGTTTAAATAACATTTTATTTAAATATAACAGGTAGAGAAAATGAAGAGCGGCTCTCATTTGCTTGTAAGTATAATCTTCTGAACGGATGTACCGGATTTGTACTGCAACATAATAAAGTTGGTAACTTCTCTATATTTCTTTCAGTCTTGCAATTATACAGTTAGAAGGAGGGTCGATATGCAACAACAAAAAATATATATAATTAGGCTGCTAAATATATAGTTTTAATTTGCAGATCCAGAATTCTATTCATGGCATAATAATTGTTCGAGGAAGGCACGCTCAGAAGGCCTATAAATACAATATGTAGTGTAAAAATTATAGAATTAGTATTGTAAAAAAATTATAGATCAATGTAACAGACATAAAAAATATAGCTGCTACAGGTTCGCGGAGGATGAAGCGGCCATAGACTACTTGGCGTATTTTCTTGTTAAGTTGTTGTTGTTGTAAACTTAAGCGCACTTTTCATCGACACATATTTACAGTTTGACAGTATGTAATTAAAAATTAATTAGACACAGTATGTAAATTTAATTAAATTGTAGCCCATGTACCTTGTTCTTGCCTTATTCATTTTGTCTTTCATCGCATCTTTAAACATAATCGCTGGTCGTGTGAAAGGATTTTGCTTCATCTCCATATTTAATGATTCGATCTCCTGCGAAAAGTTAATAGATTTTTTAATCTTAGTTTTTCTTATTCTATTTCAATATATCTATACATATATATAAAGTGGGATATATATGAGTAATAAATAATTTGGCATGAATTATTTACATATTTTAGCTTAAAATTCCAGGATAGCGTTTAGATGGCAACTATTTAAATTTTATTCCCTGCAAACATTAGATCAAACTTACACTGTAGAAAATAATAAATGATGCAGTATACTTTAAGAAATAAATAAAAATGTTCGCTGCCTATTATTGTGGTGGCTAATAGTGAACAAAATACCAAGCAGATGCTTTCCATACCATTGCTCTCTGATTATTTTGTATTTGATTTTCTAAGCTTCTCTTATACTCCTCTTGTTCCCTTAATTCTTCTTTAGCCCTCATCAACTTTAACTCAACCTCTCTCAGAGCAGCGTTGTTTACGTCTTCTTTAATCTTTCTTCTTTCTTTTCTTGTATTTTCGATTTCAGTTTCCTTTTCTTTTAAGTATTTTCTGTACTCACTGGCATATTTCTGAAAAGAAAATGGTTAAAAAAATTGTGCGTGTACTAGGTGTACACACGTAAGAAGTGAAACTTCTTTATGATCTTATTTTTCGAAAAATGATCTACTATATGCAACTTTACAGAAATTCGTAAAATTAGATAAAGTTTAACAAAAGGCTTTATTATCATAGACATGAATACAAATATTTCATTTTACCTTATTACTACGAAGATTATTATAGAAATGTGACGCGTAACAAAAAAATGTTACACAAAATTTTTTTCCAACCTCGATAAAGAAGTTTCACTTCAATTAAATTAAAACAAACCTTAGATACAAAACTATCTTCATTCATGTGTTGTTTTAAAAATTAAAAACTACGACCATAAATATACCCCATACATAAACAATATACACATAAATTCATGTGACATTGCAAGTTATTGCAATTGCTAGACACTATGTATAGGTGTGGCCGATATTTTCAAAAAGTAATTTATACGGTTAAACAAGTTAAGTTCATTATTATTTGCTAAAATAAGTTTAAGAGTTTTTCTAAGGGTAAGATTTACGAAACTTAGCGATAAGTCTGACTTCCGAACGTCAAAAATGTATTGTATTTTAGTCATTAGTGGGTACGCGCTAAGTCTCATTTACGAATCTAACCCTTACACACATACAGTCTAAATGTACTTAAAGAATTGAATGATAATGTTGAATGACTCGCCGGTCTAGATTTTATCTGATAGCTTATTGGTTAAGATCTGTCTAAATAGCCAACATAAAGGTTTCGTTAAAAATCTACTTTTTAAATACCTCTTTGTTACTTCGTTTCTCCTTTTCGAACATTTGTGTTTTTGTATCGTTTTCCCTCTCGCTCTCTGCTTTCCATTCCCCTACAATCTTATTACATTCGATTTCTAAATTTTTAATAAATTTTCTTTCCTTCTCCATATTTTCGATACATAATTGCTGTTCTCTTTGAAATGATTTCTGAAAAAAGAAGTTGTATATGTCTTTCTTATTGGTATGGACATATAATAAATATATTTATTTATTTTGTTCTGTTCTGTTCCATTCCATTCTATTTTATTTTATTTATTTATAAAAACACTCCTGGATTCATAGCGGTCGCGGATGATGCTATGAGCAAAACCCACGGTACAAATAGAAACCAATAAATAATAATGTACACTGGATGAAAATATAAGTGGAATACTTAATGTTCATCACCCAAATAAGGACTCTTCCTATGTGGAATAGGAGAGTCACCCTCATCGGACCTGGAGCGCAAACTGCTAAGGATGTTTTCACTTGTTAATTTTGTTGCGATAGTAAAAGCAATCTTACGATTTTAGCCATTTTCTTGTCCCTCTCCTTACGCAACTCTTTTAAAGCGACTTCAATTGTTTGTTGATCAATTGATCTCTCTTCTAATCTTCTATTCCTGAGTTCTGACATCTTCTGTTCATGTCCCTCTATGTAGTTCATTCTGTTTTTAATTTGTTGTTCTTTTTTCTTCTTGATTGCTGTAATATTAAGCGGAAAGAATGTTAAACATTATAAATGGATGGTCAATATTATTCAATTAATAAAAACGGGCTACCGAGTACTCACGAAATTATATTGGAAACTAAAAAAAAGTCATATCATCACTATGTTGCGTCTGTGTAAGTTTTTTCAGAGAATATACTCGAAGGTTTAAGGTAAAGTTTCACTAATCATTCTAGAGTCGCTCTTATATGATACAAAAACTTTTACATTCCGACAAGAATTACAAAAGTTAAAGCTTACTATCAAAATATTCTTCTTCCATTCTCTTCTTTATTTTCTCGGTTATTCTATTGTCTTCTTGTCTCTCCATTTTAAGAGCATATCTTGTCTTTGTATTGGCGCTGGCAATTTGTTCATCATAGGCTTGCCTTCGTTCTTGCATTCCACGCTTAAGATGTTCAGCTTTCAATCTTTCTCTTTCCTCCTAGAAGAAAAGAAAATGTTGTACTATTAATGTGGAGGACGGCGTGATTCTCAGTAAAATGAAATTTAATTTAAGTTTACTTATTCTTACGAAAAAGTCAAGGTAAATTTTTGGATCTGTTGTTGTCTTGTACTGTTTTCTATGCTTACAAATGTTTGCTATATATATATTTGACATTGTGTTATCAACAATAATACAGCTTTATGTAGTTTTATTAAAATACAAACACATATGCGACACAGACATAAATTGTACGTAATAAAAATAGAAGTTGTATTTATGTTTGTGGACCCCCCCACCATGGGCATCATGCCCGTTCCAAGGAAATCTAAAACACCAATTATTTCTACTACCTCCTGCCACCTCTCAGTCAATTAAATTACCTTTTTTTTAACATCATCCAATAATACTCGATGCCACATTTCATCGATTTCTGAATTTACTGATGCTATATATTCCTTCTCTTGCATTTGTATCTTATGCATTTTCCGCAACTGTATTTCATCTTCTCTTCTGCATTGCATGCCTTTTGCCCTGTAAATAATTAGAGATGATAATTAGAGAGTGAATAATTTAGTATTATCAGAAATTTATATTTTAATTTTATAAATATTTTCTAGGAATATCATAGATCATAATAATAAGACACTTCATTTTAAATATATACTATTTTCATAATGACGTTATGTACAATTTCACCCGGACAATCAATTTTATGTTCCAATTAATTTATACTCACATTTTTTCTCTTTCCATCGCTCTTTGACATTCCATAATTTTCTCATGTTCCAATTCTTCTTTATATTGCTCTAGTTGACTCTTTCGAGCAACACAGTATTTACACTCTTCTAATTCTTTTCTTCTTAAAAGTTCAGAAGCTAATTGTTTTTCTTCTTCACCAAGAAGACATCGAAGCTTCTCCCTTCTCTGTCAAAGTCTTATTTCTTCTTGATTCAAAAGTTTACTGACCTTTTCACTTGTCCTATTTATAATAGCCCTAAAAATATAAATATGTAAGGTTCAGAAACCTTTTTGGGAAAATTGTTTTTTTTTCTAATTTACAGAAATATTTAGGTAATTATTGCGATATTATTACTGTCTTAGCAATTTCATTTAAATATATATTTCGGCCTAGTGCTATTCCGCACCTTTCGTCTACGATCAGTAGTCATTTAAAAACATACCAATAATAATCAATAATACAACCACAAGTATTTCTTTATAAACATCTTACTTTTGTAAGTGCAGAGCATCATAAGAAACTTTGTCCAAACTCGTCTTCAGGTCAGCTACGTTTATCAGGGTTTCCATGTCCCTACGATGGCGCAGCTGTAATTGTTTGCAAATACGTTGTCAATAATAAAGTAGCAGAAAATATTGCATAGTGCATTAAGCGTGGATGTTGTTAAAGGCTTGTCTTGGCTTGGCTGAAGAGTGGTATAAAATCATAATTAAAAAATGCTTACAGGCTTTTTTTTTATAGAACATAATATATATACATACCCTCCAAAATTGATGTGGATGACCAAGATAGACATTATTGTGGTGAGTTTTAAATTTGTTTAAACTGACCATGATAACACAACTGCAGCTTATAAAGTATTGATCTAACGTTTAAAATTATATGTTACTAAGCAACAATATCGGAGTTGTAATCCCGTAACGATAGAAGGTTTGGGTCAGAATTATAATATTTAAAGAAAAAACTTTTTAACCGGATTAAAGTTATGTAGTATTATAAATTTACAATTATTTAACATAATTTTAAATTTATAATAATACATAACTTTAATTCGGTTAAAAAGTTTTTTCTTTAAATGTGTAAAGGTTATGTTAATCAAAGACAATACTATAATATTTAAGTAAATAATCAAACTATAATTTTTATCTTCTATAACTGATTTTGTTTGATGTAATTACTAATTTCTTAGTATGGCGAGGCATGCGAGGCCATAAGTGCAACCACTCGTAATTCACCTAAGTTTGTTGACCTCTTTAGAGCAGACAGATTTATGTCTCAATTACTTGAATTACATTAGAAAGAAGGGTGTGGTGGTAATTTTCGTTCCTTTCACTGTAAAATAAAATATAGCTTCTATTTATTTTGGGTTATATTAAAAAAAACCCCTTTAGGTCTGGGCCTCAGATTTCTGAATCTTTTTCATAATAATTTTTCAATCTAATAGGCAGGTAGGTCTAAGATGTCAGATTCCTTACGATGATTTCCTTCGCCGTACGAGCGAATGTTAAATGCGCACATAGAAAAGAAAGTCCATTGGTGCAAAGCTGGGGATCGACCTACGACCTCAGGGATGAGAGTCACACGCTGAAGCCACTAGGCCAACACTATTTTGGGTTAAAACGTATAATAATTAAGAAATGCTTTCAGTTTTGCAGTAGTTCACGTTATTAATACAGAAACAAAATCGCTTCGGGTTAGGAATAATATATGCATTAGTTATTTTAAGGTTTTGGAAGCATACATGTTATCTGTTAAAAATATATGTAAAAATGTCGCAATAATGCTTCTGTCACCCCGGCTAGATACTTCACTTTTCACTGCACATATTTCTCATAAATCAAGCCACAACGTAACAAGATTTATATGAATTTTAAAGTGCACTTTAAAATTGTTAATACTGTGATTGTACTTTAATTACAATATTCGTGTTTTTCGTTTAAAACCGCGGAACGGACATTATTTACGTTAACCGTGATGTCACGCTATGCGTCATATATTTACTTAATTTATTTTGTTGTCAATGAATGCATTTATTTTATACGTGATCGTAGTGACTGATGTTTGGCATTTTCCTAGTTAATAATAAAAAAATCGAAATTTTTAAACGATAATCTATATAGGTGTCCAGAAATTTCAAAACAATTCTTTGGGGAAGATAGAGTCTCTCTCTTCAGTCGGTATCATGTTGATGCTGTAGAAGGAAACATCTGACAGACAATCTTTAGTGTTTTTTCAGGTTCTTATACAGTGTATATTTAGAGATGACATTATTATGTCCATCTCTTTGGTGATCGAACACGACCAGTTTCTCCAAGTTCTCGCCTCTGCGCATTGTATGGCCGAAATATTATATATTTCGGCGGGTAGACGGGCGGGTCCGTAGATGTAATATGATATTTAAAATTAGGCATTTGCCTTTCTCAACCCAAGATAGTCCACGTTTCTACTCCATACAGTAAGATAGGGAAGAAAGAGTGTTAGACTCTAATATTATAAACCTCCTTGTTTTCCTATGATTTAAAAAAATACTTCTAATCTCAACTAAAGAGCATCATATTATGTTTCAAGTGATGCGTATTCCAATTTGCATCCCACCGCCTTTTTCTTGGCAAGTATTTCTATAATAGAACTCCTTGTTTAAAAATCTCCTTAGCACTTCTACTATTTTATACCCCTACTACTTGCTGCTACCGTGATTATCGTCATTAAATTAATAAAAAAATAATAAATACTTAACTGAAAATAAATTTTAAAGACAGGGGGGAGTGGAGGATATTGTGCGGCGTCTCTAATCACCTTCAAAAATAAGAGCGCTACTGAAGAAGTATTTTTATAGATTGCAATAAGTGTATTTCGCCCTTGTTTCACTCGCGTCGCCTGGAAGAGGTCACTTATTACAAGGCCCTCCGCAGCAATTACTATATTGTTAAGTGCAAATTGTGCAAGTATGTAACTGTTGAAGTCGCAGAACCGTGTATAAACCTTAATCTAATGAAACTTAAAAAAAAAACTAAATAAGGGATGCTGGTTTTCCGTGATGTTTTTATTTCATTTCATTTGTGCAGAGCCGGGAATCGAGCTTTAGGGATTAGAGTCGAAAGCTGAAACCACTTAGCCAATACTGCTCTTATAAATTTTAAACGTTACATATATATTTCCAGCTTTAATTACAGTTACAGTCAAATTCATAACCATTGTAGTCACAATTGTTTTGTTCTTACCATCGTTCATGTCAATATGTTATTGTTACGAGTTAAAATTATTTATCTCAGTATCAAGCTTATATTATACGCGCGATGGTCGTGTGTACATTTTTTTTTTTTTTATAAAGACAATTCACACCAATTGACCTAGTCCCATGCTAAGCTGGAGAAGCTTGTGTTATGGGTACTAGGCAACGGATATACATACATAGATAGATATACATATAAATACATATTTAAACACCCAAGACCTAAGCACAACACCAAACGCTCATCACATCGATGTTCGTCTCAGCCGGGGATCGAACCCGGAACCCATGGATTCGCAGTCAGGGGTACTAACCACTAGACCAATGAGTCGTCAAACATTGACATTTGTGTGTGTTTTTAAATTTTATTTTACTGAGCACCCGGAAATCAGCAGGGTCACATTGTCTGTAAATCAAATCAAAATCATTTATTCATTTAGGTAACACAATGTACACTTATGAACGTCAAAAAAGAAATACATATTAAATGCTTCTAATTTTACATTTACTGCCAGTTCTCAAATCAAGGGCGTAGAACGGGAGAGAAGAACTGGCAATAAACTCTCCGCCACTCTTTTTAATCGCTTTTTAATTGCAATCACGAGTGACCACTACGCTTACATTGTATGGTCCATTAAACATAGCACTTTTACTGTTTGTACATTATATTTGATTTATTGGTTTTATATTTCGTATATGTTGTAGTAACCCTTGCATATGTTACGATGCTTACTAAAATAAGTACATGCCGCCTTAATCATTAGGTTAGAAGTTAACTCACGCGTTTAACCCGGAAGTGAAGGGATTTTCCTTAACCAAAAATAGTTTCCGAAGGATAGACACTACAGAGTGATCTTTTAAATACCATTGTATCAGTAGCAGTACCTGAATTAAGAATTGTTGGGACTTCAAACCGGTTAATGGGCCAAAACAGTTTGTTTGCCTTAAACCGCTTAAAGTTTGAAAAAGTGAACCTTTGAAAAGAATCCTTTATCTAAAAATACGTTACCACATCCATTAAAATGGTATTAAAATAATCGGAAGCATAGTTAATTACATTAGTCACATTACACATATGTCCGGTGCCTTACAAGTGCCCGAGTGGCATAAAGCTTTGTACACACTGGTTATTATTTATTAATTAAAAATTGATGTTACGAAGATTGAAGTAAAATTATAGTTGATATCAAAAATGTCCCATGATATTTAAAGCAATATCAGTACTCGTTGGTAACTTTTTTCCTATCTTAATAAGATACAGCATTAAATTAAAAACTTTTTGGCATGGATTATCCCAACTACCTTCACAAAGTTTACTTTGTTTAACGGTTTTGTCGTTTAAGAGGTGACAATCATATGAATCCAAAAAAACGCTTATCTCCTTTCAACGCTTTAGTTATTAGGCTTAACACGTTCACGAAAATCTCTGCAATTTATAATATCGAAATTATTTCCGTTTGATACATAAAAAATTGTCCTAATTAAAAACACCTCTAGAAAACCAATCTTAAGTACCAAAAACTATAAAACATATTGGTTAGGCAATTTCGGGTACAGGCAATTCAAAAAGGTTTCTTCGTTTCCAATTTGATACGATGAACAATGGAAAACGACCTTAAGAAGCCGGAGGGCGCATGCGTAGGGCCCAGGAGTGTCATGGCGGATCAGTCTTCGTATTGACGCTGAAGCGCCGCGCGCTTTTCACCGCCCTACCCAAATTATTGTTAATTAAAACATTAATTACAATTTTTGTGCTTGTGCAAGTGACAGTGCCGTGTCCGGTTGAGAGCGGTTCAATCCGGTTTCGTCCAGACGAATCCACTTCGAGCAAGTTGTAAGTAGTTCATTTTTCACGAGAAACGCGTAGAGTATTTTGGTAGTATGCTTTTTGTGAGACTTTGTGTGAGTGAAAGAAACATTAGCGTTGGAATGTTTACACGCTTTATCGATTTTGTTAAGTTAATGCTTATGCCTCATTGGCTTCTATGAATTCCATTTTGATTCGTAAATGGAACCACGATTTCATCGGACAATAGCTCGTGGCCGCATATTCGCCACAGTAGTGTTTTGTTTAAAAGTGGAGTATCCTTTTCAAAGCCTCGTATAACACATATATAGAGCAGGTTTGTCTTACCAGTTTAGGTTTAAAGTAGCTAGTACATAAAAGTACTATTTCTATGCATACGGAAAAGAAAGACAAATGACTCGAGAAATCCTAATAGTTTTACAATCTCCATGTTTGTATGATACCCTTTAAACAGGTGAGCTGAGTTTGATGACTTGATATTGGCATGCACGTTCATAAAGCGTAGTTTTTTTCCATATCAAATCGAAGATATCAGTATAAATGTTTCAAGCAATACAATAAAGTATTTATTTCCAACACACAAATATACAGTATTTACAATATTCTTAAATGGATAAATATATAAATTAAACAAATTTCCTGCTGTATTGTGATACTTATTCGTTGAGCGAGGAAAACATCAGCCTTTGGGTCACCGATGCTATCTACCAGGCGCCAACTTAAATCTTTAATTAGCGCCTGTGCACTTGAACCCCACGGCCCAAGAGTCTCTACTCCAAAGGGAATGAAATCGA